CCTCTTCTCCCCCCCCCCCCATCAGTTAACCAATTAAATGGGATTTTACATCCCTAATACCATAGAAGATTTATTACTAAAATTGATCTGATAATTACTGATTGGGGTATGGGCAGGTTTGGGTTTATTAGCATCTGGAACAGAGATTTTCCACCAGGCAGTGCTTTCCTTCTTTGTGTCCCAGAGCTCAGTGCCATTCTTGCTTTGGAATCTCTCTGCTGCATTCTTTATGTTAATGGAGATGTCTTTCTGTCCCATCTTTGAAGCAGATCAGGCTAGGATAGTTTCCTTAATCATATCACCCTTGTCAAAAGGGGGTTAGGTGTGTTTTTCCCTGCTTTGATTGCTTTTTGTAATGGCTTTGGTTCAAGCAGAGGTGGGGTGGGTGGTCTCATCTTCCATAAGTACTATGACCTTATTCCCCAAGAACACAGAGTTGGTAGGTAATAGGCCTATGCAAATGCTGACTGTAAAAAGCTACTGCAAACAGATTTGGAGTATTTTGAATTTGGTGATGTTTACTGCCAAGCACTGTTAGCTACTTATGATTAAGTTGTTTATTTTTCAATGCATGCATTTTAAATTTAAGATTTCACTTATGTTTTCTCTTTTCCCCAGAGAATCGAGAGGATATGCTCAGTTCAAAAAGCAATAGTTTGACAGAGGCACTACAAGAAGCCAATAAATTGTTCAGTGGAGGTAAGGGTAATCTTACAGACTATTTCAGAAATTTTTGCTTTGAACATCAAAGCTATTGAGGTGATGCCCAGAATTTTAAAAAAATATGTATTATGGAAACAAACTGAGGTCCAACTGCTCTGTGAAAACACTAAAACATGGCAGTACAGTTATTTAATAAATTAGAATGAAGATGGAACTGCTCGAAGAAGATGTATTGAAAATTTCATCTAGTTATTTTGGTCCCTTACTACACTTAAGGCGACAAACAAATACATTAAGTTTTGTAGTTAAAATGTAATACTTTATTTTTGCTTCTGTATCTCGGCTCTTGCAGTGCAACAGAAGTGAAACAATGTAAAAGCTAATGTTATAAAAGTAAGTAGATTCAGTAACTATATTTGGAGAGGGCAAGTGTATTGAGAAAGACAATGTAACTTTATTTTTAAGGATGGCTTAACAGTGTTTCATGCTTTCTATTGGCAATGATTGCTATTTGCAGAACTAGAAAACATGTTTTTAGCACAGTCAGCTATCTCAGAGAAAAAAAGGAATTGGCTTACAAAGTACACTAGTTATGATTTTACAGTTAATACAGTGTATACTTTGTCAAATTTAGACAACTGTTTATTGCTAACATACAATTCTTCTTCCATAACAGTTTCCCAGGCAAGAGAGGCTGCTCTGGATGCCCAGTTCCTTGTTTTGGCATCAAATCTAGGAAAGGAGAAAGCAAATGAGTTGCACTCTGAAATGACAGTATTTGACTCGCCAGCTTTTGCTGAAGATTTAGTAAGTGAAAAACTGTTAACTCGTCAATGTTGAGATTCCTGTTTCTTTTCCACCTCTGTTACATCTAGAGTAGTTTGAAGATTTCAGACAAAATGTGGCTGTTGCATTAAAACTTAAGCATAATTTATATGAAGTTCTTTAACTTTGCAAACAGTATAGAAGTTTATCTGAACTTTCTGATGAATCGACAGTACAGTAATTGTTTTAAAACCTACATTTAGAACCTCCATTTTAATAAAAGAGATGTAGCTATATAAATTTAAGCTCCAGGCTGGCAAAATCATCTGCTTTTGCAGAAATACTTGCTAGCTGTCTACACTGGCTGCTTGAATTTCTGGAAAAGCACTGATGCTGTCATGTAAGATCATCAGTGCTTTTCCAGAAATACTATGCTGCTCCCGTTAGGGCAAAAGTCTTTTTCCGAAAGACTTTTGTGCAAAAGGGCCAGTGTAGACAGCACAGTAGTGTTTTCCGCAAAAAAAAAGCCCCGATCGCGAAAATGGTGATCAGGCCTTTTTTGTGGAAAACCGCGTCTAGATTGGCCACGGACGCTTTTCCGCAAAAAGTGCTTTTACGGAAAAGCATCCTGCCCATCTAGACGTGCTTTTCCGAAAATGCTTATAACGGAAAAGTTTTCCGTTAAAAGCATTTTTGGAAAATCATGCCAGTCTAGACATAGCCCAGATGTTACAGGATCAGGGTCTTCCTGCACCAAATGATATTTCACAGCAGTTAATTAAATGAGGTTTTTTTTACAATAGTATATTTAGACAAGAAAATAAATCTGCTGTGTTGGATTTGAAAAGCTATACCTCTAATTTCACATCAACCATGTTTGCTGTTCTTTTTTTCTATTACATGCACCTATTTTCTGTTTTAATCAAAGCTATGCTTTTCAAAAAGTTTGAGATATTGAAGTCTCTTTGATATTTTTGAAGATCTCATGGTTTATTTCTTGATCCTCTGGCTGAAAAATGCTAGTTCACATCAACATAAGAGCAAAAAGCCAATTTTATTTTATTATAAGCTGTTACATTAGTCTAATGTGGAGTTGTAACTTTTTTGTCAAAGGTGTAGCTGTGTTGTACAAGAAAATTAGGTTTCATTGCTTATTATTAGGACTGAATCAACTTTATGGTCCATTTTTGATCAATGTTACTGTCCATAAGATTTTAAAAATAGTACATTTCATGATTTCATCAATGTATTTCAATCTGAAATTTCAGAGTTGTAATTTTAGGAGTTGTGACCCAAAAAGGAGTTGTGGGAAGGGATTGCTACCCTTACTTTTGTGCTGTTGCTAGTGGGGGAACTGCCTTCAGTGCTTAGCAGCTGGAGAGTGGTAGCTGCTGTCCACGAGCCCTGCTCCGAAGGCAGAACCACTGCCAGCAACAGTGCAGCAGTAAGGAATGTCATGGTATGATATTGCCACTGTAGCTTCTGCGCTGCTCTCTGCAATTTTGGCCCTCTGTCAGAAGCCACCACTCTGATGGCCCTACTCTGAAGGGAGTAGTGCAGAAGTGAGGGTGGCATGGTATGATATTGCCACCCTTACTTCTGCCTTCAGAACTGGGTGCCCAGCTCACATCTGCCACTGTCCAGCTATCCTGATCTGAAGGCAATGTAGAAATAGGGGTGGCAACATTGTGGTGGCCTTCTGTACTATGTGCCCACCTCATTACCTTTTGAGTCAGGACCACCAATTTGAGAAATACTAATTCCCCCCCCATCCACCAAAATCTGGATAGTATAGGAAAAAGTACACATTAGACCAAATTTCATGGTTGGCAACACAATTTTTCATGGCCATGAATTTGTAAGGGTCATACTTACTTTGTCAAATGGGGGAAGACATGTGATGGTGATGCAGTGCCTGAAATATGTTAGATTGACATTCAGAAACTGTGTGTTGAAGAAGTCCTTCTAAATATTAAGAGCCGGGACCTCTCAATTTGATATGCATCTTCCCCTTATCATAACTCAGAACACGGTCAGGGTTTGTCTGTTCCAGGAAAATGGGACGTTCCTGGAATGGGATTGTTTTCCATAACATGGAAAGGGAGGGGGCTGCTAGGAGGGACAGTTATACTGCAGAGTGACCAGAGAGGGGTGGCCGCACCAGGAAGAAAGTGGCCAGCTGGGGCCAGGGCTCTCCATGTGGCTGCAGATAAATGGCCCCCCTGCTCCAAATCACTGCGTCTCAGCCACAGCACCAGATTTTTTTGCGGGGAGGGGAAAATCTCTGCTGTCCAGCAGCTGTGCAGTCCCTCTCCCCACGGAACACCAGCCTCCCTTCCCTTCCTCCCCCTCTTTCCCCCCGGAACAGCTTCAATCACAGGATACTGTAACCTCAGGTCTTCGGTTACTCCCCCAGAGGCGCCTCCCTCAAGAGGAGTGAGGAGGGGTTGTAGTTGCAGTGTTGTCCTCTCTGCCATGGGTGGACACAGTGAGCCTCCCATCTTCTGTCCTGATTCCTGCATCTCCAGCCCATGCCCTGAGTCCTAATACCTCCCACCCCCAGTCGTCACTCCTGTCCTGAGCCCTCTTCACACCCAATCATCTGCCCAACTCCTGTACTCCCAGCTACTTACCCTGAGCCCCCCAATTGCTGCCATGACTCCTGTACCCCTATACTATCAGCCTCCTGCCCATAAGGCCCTGAGCAGTGCTGAGTAAGTCTTCTAGTTGCATTATATAATTAAAAAACAGTGTTGCCAGCAAGTGATGAAGTTATGGAGGTATGGATTTATAGGAAGGTAGAGGCTAAACCAGAGACAGGCAAAATACAGCCCACAGGCCAGATCTAGTCCATCAACGCTTCCAATCCAGCCTGCCACGATCCTCTGGGATGCCAATGTTCTGCAGCCCAGCGGGAGCCTTGGGCATGTTTCCTGCTTGCCGCACACCATTCAAAGTGTCCAGACACTGGGGTCACGTGTGTCTCTGCAGCACAGGCCCTTGGGTGGGGATGGGGGAGGAGGCTCCACACACTGTCTCTGCCTGAAGTACAATCTCACCGTGCTTTCATTCTTAGCTATAGCTACAAAAAGACAAGTTTAACACTTACTGTGAAAGATGGCTTGCAAATGAATAGAGGACTTGTGTTTCCATTCTAGTACCATTCATAAGCATTCATTTCCATAGATATTTACTTTACGAGTAAACATGTAGGAGTCTGAAGTTATAACTGGCAACTGAACTGCTAGAGGGCATATGATAAATAAGAGCACAGCATCCCTCTTTGTTGCCAAGCAGAGGACACTTCTGTACCTGTCCTCTGAAATGCAGGAAAGCTGTCATGTTGAAGACATGGGCAGTGTCTCTTTACATAGCCTCTTGTTGGCAAGTCTAAAAGAGAGAATTGCTAACTGCCTTTGATCCCCAATTTCAGAGGAAATACTCACAAACTGGTGTATAACTTTATGCTTAAATCTTAGCAGAATCATGACCAAGCATGTCCCTGTTCTTCAATAAGCTCTTGAGGCAGATCTTTCCACCCATGTATATGTCTGACTTCAGTGGGGCTCACATAGGGCTATCTCTGTAGAACTTATTGTAGGATTGAGGCCTAAAATTATACAGTAGACAAATGATGAATTGTAGTTAAGGGAAATCATGTAACTCTTTTAGTTGAATTGGAAGTAAGAGATTCTTGCGGTATTCAAATAGGTATACATTATAGTACAGTATCTTAAAAATAAGCATTCATTGACTTTGCTGTAAGTGAAATTTAGGTGCATTGTCTTTTTTCTCCCTTCAATAGCTAACATTTATGGGCCTCAATCGTCTAGAAGAAGAAGAAAATAATAGTGATGATGAGGGCATTACTGGTGGATTTTTACCTACTAATGCCTGGCATAAATTGGGAGCAGAAGCAGAAAGATATTTTAGAAGATCCCCTTCTTTTCACTACATGTAAGTATATTAAAGGAAAATGATCGTGTATGCTGAAGCACAACATGGCCTAATTTAAATTCGTTTACGAAAGGACTGACCCTTAGACTATCAGTTGTTAGGTAGTGCACTGTATTTGAGAGAGGAGATAAACATGGTAATCCAGCTGCAGTCTATAGCAGATCTCTCTCCTGGCATGGCACCTACACTTGTGCTCTTTTCCCACATATATGAACTCGTGTACCTAGGCATTTCAAAGAACATTCTCCTTTTTGGGGTCTGGTTCACGAAGCAGTAACTTACATAAATAGTTTAGAACATTCTCCTTTTTGGGGTCTGGTTTATGAAGCAGTAACTTGCATAAATAGTTGTTTCAGTCTTCTGAGGCACAAAGAGTTCTTCCACTAGAGAGTAAGAGCTCATAATTTCCTTTACCTAGTCTTTTCTGCCTCATAGTGCTATCCTCTGCAAACATTACTTCTGCTTCTGTTGTAATATTTTCCATTTTCCTCATCTGGGAGGGATAGGCATACGAGAGCTCTCCTTTCCTCCTTAGGCCTTCCCCAGGCATTGTGAAGGACTTTGTGGGCTTTGCGCCCAGACCGCCCACCTGATTGTGTCTGAATCCTGATCTGTGTCCCTGAACACCACGTAATCATCTCCAGGATTCTGTAGCATGAGAATATCCCAGTGCTTCCTGCTTTCCCTGTTTCCCAGGAAGGGAGCTATCTGACTCCGGGCAGTTACTCTCGCACTCCTATCATGGCTGTATTGCAGGAGAGTCTTCCAGTTCCCTGCAAGTACTCTTCTGTGTAAATAGGCACAGTTACGAGGTGCTGCATTATCAAATGAACCTTGAAAAATGAGTAGTCTTGTGGCACCTTACAGACTAACAAAACGTATATAGAGAATCATGAACTTTTGTGGGTAAAACCTACTTCATCTGATGAGTTGGAGTCGAAATTATAGAACCCAAAATATATATATAACAAAAAGCATTTAGTTGTCAGTTTTAGGATCTGTGTTAATGGAACAAATTGGGCTGGATGTGTCTCATTCATAGCTTTGGATGTGGAAATATGAATGTTAAAGGCTGTGTAGTGTAGCTTTGGATGTGGAAATATGAATGTTAAAGGCTGGTGTAGTGTAGTAACCAGTTAATATCTGTATTCAAGCCCAGGGTAACAGTGTCAAATTTGCAAATGAATTCCAGCTCTGCAGTCTCTCTCGGTAATTGAGTAGTGAAATTCCTTTGTTGCAGAATGGCTACTTTTAAATCCATGATTGAGTTACGTTCTCCTACAGTTTATGTATTTTACCATTTCTGATGTCTCATTTGTGTCCATTTATCCTTTGTCGCACAGACTGTCCGGTTTGGCCCATATACGTGGCAGAGGGGGACTGCTGTCACTTGATGGCATAGATCGCATTAAAGGATATGCAGTTGTATGAGGTCCTGATGCTGTGGTTTACATGGTTAGGTCCTGTGATGGTGTCGCTTGTATAGATATATGGACAGAGTTGGCAATGGGGTTTGTTTCAGGGGTAGGTTCCTAGGTGAGTGTATTTGATGTGTGGCTGCTGGAAAGTATTTGCTTCAGGTTGGGAGGGATTGTTTGTATGCAAGGATTGGCCTGTCTCGCAAGGTCTGAGAGAGAGTTTCATTTTCCAAGATAGGTTGTAGATTGTCAATTATGTGTTTGAGCGGTTTAAGCTGGGTGCTAGGGATGTTAGATAGTATGTAATTGAACAGTTGTGTAACCACATCAGATTTTAGTGGTTACATGACTCTTCGATAGTCCCAGGCAAGATTATCGCATTAAAGGATATGCAGTTGTATGAGGTCCTGATGCTGTGGTTTACATGGTTAGGTCCTGTGATGGTGTCGCTTGTATAGATATATGGACAGAGTTGGCAATGGGGTTTGTTTCAGGGGTAGGTTCCTAGGTGAGTGTATTTGATGTGTGGCTGCTGGAAAGTATTTGCTTCAGGTTGGGAGGGATTGTTTGTATGCAAGGATTGGCCTGTCTCTCAAGGTCTGAGAAAGAGGTTCATTTTCCAAGATAGGTTGTAGATTGTCAATTATGTGTTTGAGCGGTTTAAGCTGGGTGCTAGGGATGTTAGATAGTATGTAATTGAACAGTTGTGTAACCACATCAGATTTTAGTGGTTACACGACTCTTCGATAGTCCCAGGCAAGATCGCCTTTAAGTTGCATAGCAGTACAGCCCTGCAGCTGCTTAATGAATCCTGCCCAGTCAAGAGCTCAAGGCTCCACACAAGGAACTGGCTGATTGGCCCCACAGTTGCTTAATCAGCCCCACTCATACGACTGCGTAGTTTAGAGGAACCTTGGTCCCTGTGGGGAGGGCTGGCATATTATCATAACTTAAAGCAAGGTAAGGGTTTGGTTGTGCCAGGAAAATGGTATATGCCTGGAATGGGATTGCTTCTCATAAAACCATACAGGCAGGTGCAAGGGGCTGGTTTGGGGCGCGCCTCCTCCCGCACTCAGGGACTGCCCCAGCCCAAGCCTACCTCCCCCCAGGCACCCTTTAGGGAGGATTAGAGGGGAATGAAGGCCCCCTGCTTCACCCATTCATATGCGAATATTGCTGGCTCTTCTCCATCAGGACGTGAGCGGAAAGTGCACAGTTTGCTGCATTCCTTACTCTGGCTGAGGAGCACGGGGGCAGATGAACCTGGATCTGCCCCATTTGGGGGGACATCCTGTTATGCTTAAATGAAGCACACAAGATCTTGTATAGGAGAAAAGGCAGTATGCCACATTTATTGAGAATACAACAGTTGCATATGCTTTTCAATCGTTCACACACAAACACGATACGCTCACGCAGTCTCGCCAGACGATGTTATAGTTACCAGTCCAGAGTCTGGATCAATCTAGTGGCCAGCCAGATTAATCACAGAGGGGGAGCAGGGTCTTTGTCGGTTGATCGATCCGATGCTCCTCTGGAGTTGGTGGCAAGACGAACCCAAAGTTTCATAGCAAAGCACCCTGCTTTTATAATCCTTCGTTGAAATCAATAGATTCCGCTTTGTCAGCCTGTGACTGGAATATTATCTTGTTGATGTCAGTCATTCCCAAACATCTCTTGAAGGCTCAATCGTCTTTTGGGGTTGCCAGCTTCAATTCAAGGATAGTCAATCAGCCAGTAGTCCAATCACTCCTTGTTATGGGTATGCATCTTTGATGCCGAGTAGTCTGGTCTACGCCCACACTCAACCTCCTTCTTCGGCCATCTGGTTCTGAATAATAACTTTTGCACCTTATCTCGACACATTCATACCCTTTTCTCTCACACAAGCAATGTTACAAGGGCTGTCAAGATTGTGGCACTACATCAACATCTGCATTGGCAAAGCAAAGAGGCATTGTAAATCAAGCAATTAAGGCCTCAGCCTTCAACATCCCTTTAGTCTCATTAACACAGACACAATACCAAAACTATCTTTTTACTTGGGCCCATTTACTAAACTCACTACACTTTAGGACAAAGAAAGACATTTAACTAAAAGGGCTTAATTTAATATTACATTATTAAACTACATTACTATATTACTAAATCTAAAATACAAATATAATAATAAGAAAACTTTCATTTCCAACAATCCCTTCCCTGACTGTGTCCGCTAGAGCTGCAGCAGCCATTGAGAGGCATGTTTTACCTGGCCATAAGCTGCTGTGGTAAGAGAGGACTGGGGTAGTCCTCTCTCCCTGGAGCAGCCTGCATACTGAACCCCTCATCACCACCCCCACCACAAAGCAATGATTTAAAAAAAGAAAAACCCAAGTAATGCCAGGTAAATCTTCTGGTAGTATATTTTAGAAGCTTTGTACTCAATTTTTTAGAATTATTTTTCATTTTCTCCCAGCAAACTAACTTCAATGTATTCTCTAGTCTTATGCATACTGTAAAGTAGTTTTCATACATTAATGCCACTTATCTATTTGGATTAGGTTGGGCTCTTTCAAGTCCGATCCTCCTGTACCAAGACAACGGATTGAGAGACAGAAAAAGAAAGGAGGGACAGAAGAAAAAAGGGCAATGCCTGCCCAGGTTTGTAAAGTAATATTTTTAATCCTTTTTGATAGCATATGTCTTAAATCACATACAGGCAGTCCCCGACTTACGCGGATCCGACTTACGTCAGATCCGCACTTAAAAACTTACGTCAGATCCGTCCTCCGGGGCGAGAAAAGCTTCTCCCGGTCTCCCTGGTCTGCTGGGGGGGTCCAGCAAAGCCGCTGGACCCCCCCAGAAGACCAGGGACACCCGAGCAAAGCCGCCGCCTGGGCGGCTTTACTCGTTTGCCCGGGAGCAAGCCGCCCAGGCAGCGGGACCCCCGCCACCTGGGCGGCTTTGTTCCTGTCCCCCTGGTCTGCTGGGGGGGGACGGGGCGCAGCTAGTGCGCCCCCCCCCCTTCCCCAGCAGACCAGGCTTCTGTTGCGGGACGCCTCGGGCAGAGCAGCTGGGGTGCTGCCGGGTTGGTCCTGTGGGAACCTACCCGGCAGTGCCCCAGCTGTTCTGTCCCAGGCTCCAGATTCAGCAGCTGTTGAAACTGATCCGGCTGACTCC